ACCCGAGGATTTAAAAGCTCTGTTATGGAAGCCTATTTGGCAAAAAGGAAGGCCAGAGTTAGACTTAAAAAATGGTTTTGTTTATGTGGCTTTTAATGGAAGAGCCTTAAGTCTCACTTAATGGGATAAGGAGATTTTAAAAGACATTAATTGATTTAATATTCAGGATTTATATTTATAAGGAAAATAAATTAGTTACTAGAATAATAGTTTTGAATTATAATATAGAAGATGGATTCAGATGATAAAGGTTATTTTATTAGTAAGCGATGCTATTAGAATGAGAAGTAGAATATGATTGTGAAATAAACTAAGAATTTATTTGAATAAATAATACATGTATTTTAGACATGATAACTATTCTGTAATGAACTAAGGGAACCGTGGGTTATCCGAAACCTAAACACTATCGACATTAAGCCAACTGGAATACTGTAATTGAAATCAGATAAAAAAACAGGATCTGGAGGCATATAAGTCAAAAGTTGTTGATAAATGTTTTAAATGATTGAGTTATAACTAGCAATGTATTAGTTTGAATTTGGTATAATAAAGGAAACAGAGGAAATTTTTGATGATGTAAACTGACATATATATGGAAAAGCTTGTTATCGGACTATGTATTGCCCAACCACCATGTTGCTTCCTTAATATCTGAAGCTTTATAAAAATGGAAAATTAATAAAACTTGTTTAAAAAAAGGAACTATCAAGCTAATAACATGTGGTTGTTCATAGGTGCTCATTTGATGCACCTACTAGACAAAGATTTCTGTCTCAGAAATAAAGAGTAATGTTTTTGAAATTGCTAAATACTTCTGTAACAATCATTTTGCAGCATCAACTCAGAAAATAATGGGCGGGACCAAGCTAATGCTTCCACAAGATGTTAGATGGAACTTTGTGGTGGACTGTTTTGAACAATATATAAAAAACTGGCCTATTCTGATGATCATTTGTGAGCAAAATCGAGAAAAATTAGATGGTACCATCACAGTCAAAATCTCCACATTGTGCTTAAGAGAAATGTTGAACATATGCTGAGCATCCTGAAACCCATTTCTGAAGCTTTAAACAAAATCCAGAAAAATAGTTGTTTTATTGCTGATGCTGCAGAAATTTGGAAGGAACTGAGTGAACACTTAAAAACAGAACTACACACTAACAAGCAGAAATTACAAGATTTAAAAAAGTGAATGGGCCAAGCACTGTCTCCAGCTCATTTTCTCACAAACATTGTCAATACTGGTACCAGGGTCAAATCTTAAGTGCTGAAGAAGAGGAATTATTCATGATATGGGTATCCAGCAATCATCCATCTCTAGTGCCAACTATAATGAACTTCAGAGCTAAGGGGGAACCATTCAAAAAATATATGTTTGCTGATGAGGCTTTAAAGAAAGTTTCACCACTAAACTGGTGGAAGTCACTCAAGCACTTGGATTCAGAAAGTGTTGAAGTAATGATTTCACTTTTAACCGCAGTGGCCTCTTCTGCTGGCGTTGAAAGTACATTCTCTTCCTTTGGACTTGTTGACTCTAAATTGAAAAATTGTCTGGGGATTGACAAAGCAGGTACGCTTATTTTTCTTTTCCAGATCATGAACAAACGAGAGGACGAAGATGAAAATGAAGTTTTTTTTAATGTGGGCCCAGCTGATATATTCAGTTTAAGTTCTTTTGTTTGTTTTTTCGAAGATATTTTGCTTAATGCATTTCAGTTACTAAACATTGGTATTTAAGCAAATATAATAATATATAATATGCTATTGTTTTAATTAAATAAAAGAATTTGAGTAGTTCTCCAACTATATATGATTTATCTATCAACCTAAAATCATTCTGATATCGCTGTTTTACTAACCTGACAGTTTATTATTCTAAACCTTCATTTTGTTTGCAAATAATAATATTAAAAATTCTAACTAGTAGCAAGAATGAGTCCTTATATTTAAAGAGCACCTGTCATCTCAGATCCATCATGACAGCATCTGTTAGTGGGCATCCACTCACCTGCTGCCTGCCATGTCTCTCACCTTGTTGTGTTACTGTCGCATCACCAGCTGTGGATGGGACTATCAGTTAGTCAATAGCGGGTCAGAAAAGGAGCCGCTGCGGGATAGAGATGACAGTTGCTTTTTAAAACTTATGATTTAAATTGAATTGCTTTAATCAAGCCTTTTACTAGTGATTTAAATCTACTTGATTTAAATCAAATCCACCCTGTTTATGACAGAGAGAAGGGTTACATTTTTTTCTTACATTGGATTTTGTTTGAACTGAGTTTTTGTAATTTTGTTTTGCATTATTTATCTTTATTTATTTTTTGAGATACTTTTTGCTAACTTCAGCTAGAAGATCAAAGATTGCTCATTCTTAAAGCAGACTGCAGTGTTAGGAAGTATTTATTCCACTTTATAAAAAATACAGTTTATGTAATGGGCCAATTATTCAGTATCTTCAGGTGACAGGGTGGACTTGTAATTGTAAAATCTTCACTAAAAAAATCTGGGCTTTTCCAGAAAATCACAGAACATATGACTCTATTATGATCTCCACATTTTCAAGTAATAATTCATTCTGTATGATTCAGTTTTATAGATATAGCTCTTTGTCTCTTTTTATCCATAATTACTTTGGCCTATAATTGCCTAAAACAGAGGGATTGGGAATCCATGATTTAGAGCATTTCCAAAGATGATTAAATGAATGTATGGAGGATCAAGCTAAAAATGTCTGGTCTTCTTGATGTCTTTTTAAATACTATCTGCTGGGAAATGAAAGGAAGCTATTGTCTTCTTGTCCAATTCAGCGAATCTTCCCTAATGTATCTGATTGGCTATTATAGAATATTAAACAGAATGGAGATAGCAGTTGTTACGCTTTGTTATTATTCATGTTCTTGTGCTGTGTTAGGGAAAAGAGTGTTTTCCAGATTGTATACAAATATGATCGCAAAAGCCTGTTCCACAGTGTTCAATTTGTGCTCCTTTCCATGCTCAGTATATCATTGTGTTATTTCCAAGACCCCACATAGATAGGAAAATAGGGAAATGGCAAGAAGTGCTGCTTCTCTTATTCTTTATCAAAGCCCTTAAAGGCACTAAAAAAGAAATACTTGAAAAAATAATGTTGCCATTGTCATATTAACTCTGTTGGAATCTTAGAAAAACCATACTACATACAGCAAAGTTATCTAACTGAAACAAAGACTTTCACAACTTCCAACTTTCAAGACAGAATTGCCATTTTGCTACACAGAATAGGTTTTCCTTCTGTCAGCATGAGTTTGGTGGACAGAATTCTGTGTTCAGTATGATATATATTGATATGAATGTTATGCCTCCCAAAATGAAAATCTGAGTTTTTCAGGACAAATCAAATGCTGGCAAGTCTGCTAGTACTGTTGTTTATGAAGCGTATCCCCAGTCTCTTTCACACTCACACATCAAACTTGGCTACTTGTTATGATGAATATTCCCCTCCCCATTATATTATTATCTCATCTCCATGCATTTCCTGACATCCCACCACCTTCTCCCTAAATCAAATCTGAAGGTCCTCCCCATAGCATTGCTATGTGTCAGATTACCTCCTTCCTCTTCTACTCAACTCAGAAACTCCCTGCATTCTATTCACCTGGTTCTAACACCATCCTGTTTATCATCATTGCTTCCATCAGAAACCGACTATTTCATTCTTCCATTAATTAATGAATTAATTTAACATATGTTCCCATCTTTTTTCAGAAGCTGTTCCAATGTTTTCCACATACAAAATCAAGTAATGTTAATTCACAAATGCATCATCCAATTCATTGAAGATGTCCCACTAATTTGAAACAACCAAGTGGATTCTAAAGAAAAGAATTGCCATTTAGTGTATTGACTTAATTTTCTGATCTTAGCAAAGTTATAAACTATTTAATCAATGTACCAAAAATCTGACAACAAAAAGCTTAAATACTATAGTATCTAAGATAATTGGCTAGATTATTGACTCAACTGATGCAAAAAAAAAAATATCCCAATCTAGCTTCTAAAGTTTGCATGATGAGACACATGCATGCAATCTTTATATTTGCCTAAGGAACAGGCAAATGAAATTTAAAATTTGTTCCTGCTTCTGATTATTCAAATACTTGTACTGATCATAGTAGAAATGAAACTGTGTCAATAACAAAAGTTTTAGCTCTATTTATCTCTGTAAGTATTTGTGATATAATCATCATATCATCCAAGCGTAGCTATTGAAAACATGGTTCCTTTAAAGAATCAACTTTTTAATTATTATTAAATATTTTAAAAAGAATACATAAGGGAAGATAAAAGTCATGAAAAAATGAAATAAAATAGTAATGTACAAATAATACTACTCAAAATAAAAAAAATTACAATTTAATCCCTTTGTTTCGAGATGGAGTCAGGGTGACTGAGTAGAACTGAGCATTTACTGTCCGGATGCCCTTCCTGATACCTACGCAGAGTTTGCAGCAAATATTTTTTCTTTGCGCCCTGACAGAGAAACATCTGCCATTAGGTAGGACTGAAGTCTCAACTTTCCAAGTGATAGGAGAGAATCTTCAACTTTAGATCACTGTGCCACTTATTAATAATACACTAAGTAAATAAGAAATCTAAAAATGACATTCTAGTTTTCTGATATATTACATATGAAATTATAAAAAATTTAAAGGAGAAATTTAAAATGATTACGCTTCAAGCTACTTGTCAACACTAAAATTGTATATCCAACTAAAAATACAAGGTAACAATACTAAAAATCTAGTTATCAATGAAGTTTAAATACAGATTCTATATGTAGAAAAACCAAAATTTTGGTGTAGGAATAACAAATCTGTGTATTATATTATAATCCAAGAATAGTTTTTCTAAAACTTAAAGCAATATAGTTCACTTTTCTTTCTTGGCAACCCTTCAGAAAACAGCTCAAAATGTTCACCATTCACAAAAAGAAAAAAGAAATTACATAAAAATCTTACCATGGGCCATGCGATGAAACCAATAGTATCCAAAATCTACTCCAATGAAGGTCAAATACCATGTCCATGATGATGTCCACGGTAGTTGCATCATTCTATAGTTGTTCCACACATACATATATGTTGACATTTCAACACTTCTAGAAATAACACTAAAATTCAAAAACAGACAATGCACATTAGAGATTCGTCAGACTACCATATTCAGACTGTTTTGTTTGTTGATATCTCTATCAAAAGATAATGGAAGAAGGGTCTCTGGAGCTACAAACAGAGCAATTCAGTAATCTAGCAAGCAAACAAGTTTTTTAAAAGATTAAAAGATTCTGCTCATGATCAATGTGGCAGCAAAATCAACAAAAGATCAAAATGAGCTACAATACAAATGCATTAGCAATTATTGTACCAGTGTTTGGATCTGAATACGATGTCTGTTTACATGATAACTAACAAAAGTAAAAGATGACTGTAATGTTCTGACCATCTCATTTTTATCCCAGCAAAACCCCACAGTGATCAAAGTCTGATATCACTAAATTACCATTTCAGAAAAACCTCAACTTTTCTTAGTTGTTATTTCAAATCCCCAAAAGCATTGGAGATGAGAGGAAAAGAAGGGAGGGCATAAAAAGACCCTGTTTCACCCTGGCTGTCCGAGCCCACCTGTGACTCACTCATAGCTTTCTAACAGGTGGTCTGATTTTCAAACCAAATTATCTGTTTAACTTCAGTTTGGCAGTTGGAGAACCAACAATTTCACACAAGTTTCAGTGGCAGGTGTACTTATCCTTTGCTGAAGCAAAACACCTGGAACATATTTAATCTTTGTAAGAGCCTTACAAAATATTACTAAAGATGTTTTTAAAAAGGCAATTCACCATATTTTTGCAATTTATAACTTGAAATATTACCACAAATCTTAACCTAAATTCTTAATCATTTAGACAATTGGCCATAAAGGAACTTTAGCTGTTCTACGGGGACCAGGAAGGAGAGGGGAGAACTCTCTCAATACTATTTTGCAAGGATTTTTTTTTAAAAAAAGACACTTTTGCCTAGAGTAGTATCACTTACCAACTATTGGCCAAAATATAGTTATATATGCTCTTTAAGATCCGGTGAATCAAGAAGGCTTAAGAGTACCTGATTCTGCTTGGATCATGACCATAGGATAGTGTTTTTTCATTTTGGCCTCATTAAGTACCATATTGTAATGTTTTTGCAACATATCCAGACATAGAAAGGGATGTATTTCTTAAATTGGTCACTGAGCTCTTTTTTCGTTGGGTTGTAACTAAAGCTAGACATTAATTCTAAAGTACTGATTTTTTTCACCTGAAGTTATATGTCAAATTTGCATATTTTAAATCAATCACTAGCATACTAACAGAATTATTAATGGATTAGCTTTGTCAAATATGGAAACAAATTCACAATTGCTTTATTTCGGGACAACCTTTACCAAAGTCAAAATATTTATGTAGCGCTACCCCTGACAGGGCTGCTGGAATCCGGGTTCTCTTGTTCACATGCAGGGAAAGTGTTCTGGTGGCTGGTCAGTTCTTCTTCTTCTTCTTCTTCTTCTTCTTCTTCTTCTTCTTCTTCTTCTTCTTCTTCTTCTTCTTCTTCTTCTTCTTCTTCTTCTTCTTCTTCTTCTTCTTCTTCTTCTTCTTCTTCTTCTTCTTCTTCTTCTTCTTCGTCTTCTTCTTCTTCTTCTTCTTCTTCTTCTTCTTCTTCTTCTTCTTCTTCTTCTTCTTCTTCTTCTTCTTCTTCTTCTTCTTCTTCTTCTCTTCTTCTTCTTCTTCTTCTTCTATACCTAGGCCATAACAGACTCCACTCCTCCTCCCCGACCTAGGCCTCAGCAGACTCAACTCTTCCCTGCGCTCTCCTGACTCCTACCCCAGGCATCTCCCCATACTGTCTCTTCAGCTCACCAACCCCCACTACATTTATTAAGTCTAACTGTGCTTCTTTAAACTTCCCTTTTCCTTCTTGAGAAAACTAAGAATATATTTAATATGAAGTATGCTGGTAAGTATACTAATTGCAAATAAAACATTAATGAACAAGATATACTCTATTTGTAGTCTGACAAATTCTCACTGAAAAACAGTGGGAACTTTTTTGTTAATTTAACATTTTTTATTAATTCCCATATGATTTTAAAATATGTCTGTTTTGAACCAAAAATTCCTCAAATGCATGTGAAAGTGAAAGATTCAATTATATATAAATATGCATTAACTGTTATTAATTTTAGAGGACGACTACTGAAAATATGATCTTATGAACTAATAATAATCAGCCAATTTTAAATTTTCAAAAAGATAAATGTCTACAGGATAATGAAATTCAAAGTAAGATAATGGATTGATATCTTAATTTATTTGTACATTTTATATATAATTTACAAAAGAATTTTGTTACAATAAATTCTTGATATCTGTTAAATTTTCATATGCACATCAAGTACCAAAGGTTAAATGAAATTTGTCAAGCTAAACACACAGAAATACTGGAAACATGTGAAATATGAATGTCCTATAACAAAGACTCCATGAAAAAAGGAGAAGAGAAATAGTAGAATGTTTGTCAAACCTCACACTGGAAAAGGAAAACAACTTGCCTTCAATTTAAAGTCTCTTATATTTTTCTGAACAGGTGCCAGTTCATGACCTGACAATCTAATTTATTACTCTATCAACTGATTTATTAGACTCGAAGTGACCCTGACATATAATGGTCATAGTTTCTCCCCATTCTGCTTTTACACTTCATTATAAAGCCAAACAGTCCGGAAGTTGCGGAAAGAATGAGAAAGATCTGGGAGTTTTACTCCCTGTCTTCACTCAGCACTGCAAATATGATCACTTTCCATTTTTAATATACAAACATAGTTACAAAATGATCTATTTGCTAACAGTATCTTGGAAAGCTGTTAGAATGTTTGCCTGTGTTAAGCTCTTAATTACAGAATGTAAAACTAACACTTTAAAAACATTTCTTCATCCTGAAAAGTAATACACTGGAAAAAACCTAAAACCTCTCTCACATAAAAGAGATAAAATCTGAACACAAGCCTAAAATGTCAGCATGAACCTAAGTGAAACTCAAATATTTTCCCAAGTATTTGTTTTCCTACCAAATACTTTACATGTGTTTAAGTACAAACAAGAGCTCCTAATAGCTTACATAATTGACCATATTTTTTAAAAAAAAACAATTAAAATCATTATACAATGTTATACCATAGTTAGCAAATTTTATATTATGCATGATTATTTATAGCACATTATTAATGTTCATAGCATTTTACATAATGTAACAATTAACTGTTTCCACTAATTAGTGAAACATCTAATATCTAATTTTATTTATTAATCATTTTATGGACTGTTTCTTGATCTTTCTCTTTTGAAATATTTAGGAAAAAAAATTAATTGAATACTGAGATAGTGCACATACTACATTTTGGACTTATATAAAAAGCTAAAAGATACATGTTACTGTAAATACAGTATCTTCAAAGGAAGATTGGTGAGTGAGAACTTACCAGGTTAAATTATAGTGGAGGAAAAACAAAAGATTAATGATTAATCAAGACAACAAATGAAACTTTATTGAAATAAACTCAGAAATAAAGCTACTTGCAGAAATATAATCTAACAATGACTATTAAAAGCAACAAGAAATGAAACTTGAAATTTAGAAAACTAAAGCACTCTATAGGCATTTTTTGAAAAATATTGAAGGAAAATTGGACAGCATCTGAATATAGCAATTGTTTAGAAATGGGAAGTGGAGGGTGGAGAAGTGGAGAAGAAAGAAGAGGTGGAGAAGGAGGAGGAGTTTTTTTCTCCCCAAGAACAAGCCATATGCACAAATGTTAATTGGCAAAAAATAGAAAATACTAGTTTGGATAGTAAATGCTGAGATATATGAAAAAAAAGTTGACAATTTAATAACTAGATGCCGCAAAATCCAGAATGGTTACAAAAAAAGGGATGACTGTGTTAGCAAGATAGTGTATTAGCATTTATGTAGAAAACTAATTTTACTTTGATATTACTTGCAATATGAATTCATGGAAAACCATTGAATATAATAGAGCAAAATAGAGTTCTTACAATCCAGACTGGTTGGTACTTGGAATATAACACATCAATTTTACTGTCATTGAAAAGAACCCTGATTACTTTTTCAATGAAGTCGTATCAAAAGACAGTTAAGTTGAAGACAAGTAATAGAAAACATTTACAAAATACTGGTATTTACAAACAGAGATTACAAGTATTTGTAAGAAGTCTTCTAATTGTTATTGGGTCATTAGGTATAATATCACAACGACTTAGAAAAAATTTGAACTTAGAATTTGGATTTATAAAAAGTAATGATAGACCAACTCCAGACATTAGCACATTTGGCACCTCAAACATAATTAGCACTACAGGTAGTCCTTGTTTAGTGATGGCAACTCTGGAAATCCCCAATTCCATCATTAAGCAGGATTGCTGGTCATTAAGTGAATACCTGTCAACTTCTAACAAGCAAAGTCAAGCAGACTGATCTGTTAGTAAACGCCTGCCTCAGGCCAATGCAAATGCCAGGCATAATGGCTGCTGGGGTAGATAAGCTCCCCTATGCTCTACTACCCAACTGTTGTTTATTATCTTCTTCGTCCTGTTGCTAGGCAAGCCTAGCTTAACCTTTTGTGAAGCCACAATTGTCTGAGTATAGTACTATGACCAAAACTGCAGCCTGGTCCAGCACCAAAGTGTAAAAATTGAAGGTGCTCTAGCTCCAGCCACCTTTGCCATCCTGAATTCTATGACAGGAACTTTACAAGGACTCATGCAGCCAGCGTGTACACCTCAACAGCAAGAGGAAGGAGTTGTCAAAAGTCAGCTGTAGTTCTAATGGCAAAGAGCACAATCCAGTACAGAATTAATGGCTGATGAGTCCAGGACCAAAGGGCAAAGAAAAGAGGAAGATAAATAGGTGGTGTTGGTTGAAGTACATTCTGTAGTCATGTACATGGGTTGCCAAGTGCGTGATATTTCATAAGTGACCACAGGAGCACTCCAACAAATATTACTTCAAAGACCAAGCATTAATTCCATTTGATCAGCACTTTGATTTGTAACTTCAAACA